AAGAGAGGCGAGAGCAGCCTGCACAGGGTGACTGAACTGCAGTAACCTCCCCTCCTTTCTCCTCCTTTCAGTTGCAGGACCAAGGGCATCTGGCAGTTGGGAGAGAGAGAGGGAGGGAGGAAACAGAAAGGCACAGCCCATTTCAGGGTTTACCCACCCTAAAAGCAGTCACACGTATCCTCTCCTTTCCTCTTGCTCTTTGTGATGACATGGCACTCTTTGATCAGGCAGAAAGCAAGAGGTGAAGACAAAGGCAAAACCAAAACCTCAGCCTTTGACAAGCAAGGAATAATGAGAGGTAGGTGAGAGGGGAGGGAGCATCTTCTGGATGAGGTGTGTGAAGAGGAGAGCTGAATTCTTGCAAAACGATTGCTGTTTGGGTGAGGAGTTCTTTGCAGAGCTTGTACGTCCGTTGTGCTGACTCCAATCCCACCCATTCTGTCTTCATCAGATGTGCAATTTGAGAAGCTCTGTTGCCAAAAGCGGGGGATCCACAGGCTGGATAGGAAATAAACAAATCCTGTCCTCTTAAGATTATAGACAAGGAGTGACTTTGGTTGGCTTTTTTTTTTTTTAAGTGGAGCAAATCAAAAGTACTTTTTAGTAGGCTGATTCTACCTGGAATTATTGCGTTCTGTTTGGCAGTACAGTTGTGCCTTATGATCCTAATTTACTTTGTTCACCAGTTTGTTCAATTGTTGTTTTTTTTCAATCCTGTATTCCTTCTTACCTGAGGTAGGGTTGTACTGGCTTGGAATTTCTGTTGCTGCAATTGTTTGCTTATAATAGCATATTCAGTGGGTAAAGAGCATCTTAAGTTGTACTAGGTTCAGATTCAGAAATGTCTGCAGACCTCTTTGCATTTCTGTTGAAATATAAGGTCTGATTTTGGAAGCTGCTGTAGAGTCCTGTGAAATCTCAGTCCAACAGTTGTTGTTTTTCTTGGCAATTTAGATCTTCAGCCAGCTTTTGATACCCAGGGTACCATCACTACTGTGTGAGTTTTGCACTAAAATTTCAGCAGAGACTCTTATGCACTGTTGTGAGCCCAGCTTTCAGAGGTAGATTCAGATTGGGTGCTGACATTTGTATTGCATGCCAGAACACATTTAGAAGCCAAAATGCCAAATTATATCCCTTCCTTTAGCTACCTCTGAAAGATAGCTCTTCCTATCAGATGACTTTGTTCAACAGCCTGTTAGGCCCATGCAGAAAGGCGCAGTCCTGCTGACACATGGCTCTGTGACGTGTGAGCACAATCATGTTAACACATGTGGACAAATGTAAGGTCTCTTCTGCTGATGCTGGTGTGCTGCAGAGTGCACACGTGTGATTCATTACAGAACTGAAACATAACCATGTATTTTCCTTTGGCAGAAGGCTGTAGAATTTTGTAATTTACAGGACCAGGACTCTGGCCAGTAAATCCTGTTTTGAAAGATGCCAGAGACTTGTGTGAACTTCCTAAAAAGCTACCCTTTCCTCTGAACATCCAGTATTTGGAGGAGGACTTCTTGTGCTATTCCTCTGACTATTCCTGTGCTCCACAATACAGTTTCTTCAGATAAGTACTTCCATTGGACCTGGTTTGTGATTTCACAGAAAGCGCCAAACAAGGAATACCAGGGAGAGGACAGACCTGTTCAGCAGAAGTGTCACCACAACTGCATCTAGCTCATTCGGTTTCTTTATGTGCTGACCAATGCCATCTCCTTTACTTGTCTTCAATGAATGTGGGACAGAAATTAGGCATATGCTGTAGCTTTGTGTCTGTTGATGACAGGGCAGATCAAAGACTTCCAGAAGAGCGTGTAAGTGCTCCTGCTGAGCTTGGAAGAGGACACAGCTGAAGAAGTGGGATGAGATGAGGCCATTGCTGGAGGAAGTGACGAACATTTCTGGCACTTGGCATGAGGTATAAGAGCCAGGGCTGCCACCTCTAGTCTCTGCTAACAGTACTTTCTGTTGCAAGCATGCTGATCTTGAGACCATTGGTATCTGAGTTGTTCCATTGTCTGAGAAAAGAAAGGGGGAGTTAAGAAATGGAGTAAGGGTGAAGCTGGTGGTGACACATTTCAAAAGTGTCTAGAGTCTTGTCTGAGACATGGGTGGCAGGGGCTGCGGAAAGCTGTTTCCCTTAGCCTTTCATCTGTGTGTGCTTCCTCACTGGACAATGTCTGCTCATCAGGTTTCTGTGTTCTAGGTGCTGCGTTAGAGAGGAGTGATTGCTTCATCCTTTGTCACTTGGCCAGTCGTGGTTTCTAAAACTGACACAGTTGAGACAGACAGTGGGAGGCAACACAGCAGGTTATGTCAAGAAGACAGTGTTCCCTCTTGCAGTTGAGGCTTGCATCACCCTTCTACATTTTTAATTGAAGTGATGGTGCAGATGGAAAGATGTGAACCTCTAAATAACATGATTATTAGTACAAAACTCACAAGACTTTTAGTAATTTGAAAACAATCCTCATGTATTTCTGTGAAAAATAATTCCCTGGCCTGGTCATACAACCTCTGACTCACATGCCTCTGGGGGAAATGCTGGGTTAGATTTCTTTACCTAGCACCAGAGTGCTGCTAGTTGTAGTTAGGTCAGTTTTTCACAGCCTGCAACTGTTACTGGATCTTCAAAACTGAAAATTGCTCTGTCTTAGGAGCATAGAAGGCAAGAGGCCTCTCCTATCTGGCCCATCCTGTTTTGAGAAGGCTGGAGGCTGGTACACAAAGTGGGAACGTGTGGGTTGGTTTTACAGCGCTGAGATGGTGGCTGAGGCCCAACCCCTCGCCGTGTCCTGCGCGTACACACAGATTTATGCTCCTCTCCCTGTTGGTAGCTGCAGACTTCTCAGACATTGCCCGGAAGTCTGCAGTCTCTTGGAAACTCCCCTTTGGGCTCCAGATGTCCTGCTGACAGCAAGGTTTGCTCTTGCAGTGTCAGTTGTGTTTGTGCAGATGACACTGTTTTGAAATCGCATCGGGCTGCACCCTCCTCTCATGCCTTCTGGAGTACATCGCAGTTGTGGCTGGGATGCAGCGAGATTGGGTCACAGAGCTGAAGGCTGTGGGGCCTGAGCGCTGTCACCCAGTCCCTGAGCTGGGGCATCAAACTCTTCCTTTGCAAAATTGCCTGTGGTACTGCTGCTGGTGATTCATGCTGCACAATAATTAATGTTTGAGTGAGTCTTTTGCATAGTTTAAAGGAATGTGGAGATGCACTGAGGCAGTACACTTAGCTTGCTTTTTTCATGCCCAAACAAGTCTAGAGATGTCTGATACCAGCATCAATGAGGACTTTACGCAGGACTAGGAATAGAAGTCAGGTTTCGGTTTGTTTTAGTGAAGTTCTTATCTCCATCTGATGCTCTGTGCCTCTCCACAAGGTTTTCAGTTGCTGCACGATTTACTGTGGAAACTTTGTGTGGTGTTTTTTTTTTAAAGTTGATTTTGATAGCCAAGTTGATCCTTGAGGACTGTGAGTCTCTTTGGATTGGTTGCAAATCACATCAGTCAGGTTGTGCTCTCCCACAATAGGACTTCTTTCTTTCTCTGGCCTTGAGTTTCATGTTTGCTGCCGCTGCTTTTATCTTAGATAGTTGGTTTCTCCAGTGATCCAGTGGCTGTGTGTGCCAAAGGGGAGGGAGCTCTGAATTCCTTATACAGTTTGAGGCAGCTTGCAAAGGTCACGTGAATTGATATGTCCTGTGGTTTTTTTAACACCTGTTACCTCTCACAGTGTAATGGGAGATGGCAGGAGCATATGACTGCATTTATACTTGATGACTGTTTCAGAGTACTGGGAGAGGGGTGGTTTGTGGAAGTATTGCTTTTATCTTTGCCATTCTAAGAAAAGTTGCACTGTCTCGTCCAAATACCCAGGAAGGAAGAAGAGACTTGGGACTGTGGTCCTCTGCCTCTTCACAGTCAGCACTGCGGTGTGTGAGGTGTCCCCCTGCTTACTTGATGCTTTTGTATGTGGGCTGCTGTACAGCTCTTTGTCACCTCCTGTCTTGAAGAGAGTGGCAGGCTTTGAATCCTGAACTTAATCACTCAAGTTAAACTGGTGCAGGCCTTTAAAGTAGTTGCTTTTTAAATCAGTTAATCCCTTTAGCTTGCATTGGTAGATCACTGAGTTAAGATCAACTGATGAAATGCATGTTCAATCAGATTAGGGGTGTTTACATTAGCAGTTTGCATCAGTTTCACTAAGTCAGTGCAATCAAACCAGTAAGGCCATTTTTGTGCAAGTGGGGCTTCTTGAAAAAAGATACTAGATTCACTTTCCAGGTTCAAGATCTGTAGTGGAGTTAGTGCTGTGCAATAAAGATGCTTTTCAGTAGGGTTTCCAGGCTCCAGAAAAGGGTATCCTCAGAAGGTTGGTGGTGAATCTATTTCCTGAGGGTGGTGTAATGGTCATTTCCTGTAGGTATGATGGTGGCTTTCAGTTTCTTCCTGCAGATGAGGGGAGGATTTGTCATCTTCATCTTTGACACATCGTTGGTCTTTGGCACAGCCTTTGGCTACTGATATTAATAGGGAAATTCAGTGTTTTGTAGTCTTTGCTGAATCATTGTATCAAAATTGTCTTTCACAATTTTCTGTGTGCTCTGCAGTACATGCCACAGAATCCAGGGCAGCTGGCAGCAATGAGCTATTTGTTACTAGAATCTAACAAAGGCTGCTGGTTGTGAAGCCTGGAATTTCCCTCTTACACACTTGGAGAGGTCAGGACTGAAGTCTCCTGGTGGTGTTAGCAGTAATGAAGACTTGCTTTGATAAATATTTTAGCCATAAAAGGCAGTTTTGTGCCTGGGTGTACTAATCTTGTACCTTTTACTACAGTTTGTTAAAATACTGTGAGAATAAACATTGATAAAACCAAGTTAATTGTTGCTTTTAATAAATATCTTGAAGCTTGCTTGTGATGCAGATTGTAATAGATTTGGGGAGTTAATAGCCTCAGTAGTTGAACTCTTGCCTGTTTTGCATCCTTTTTTTTTTCTTTCCTTCCCCACAGGTACTTCCTTTCTGGCTTTCTGTAGCAGAGAGAAGGTAAAGACCTTGAAAGAAGACACCTGCAGCCCCTTACACAGCGGTAACAATGCTGCAACGATGAGATTATAGTGACCCCTTCCTGTGTGGCCTCCATGGGTCCCACTCAACTCAGCACACAGGATCATGGGAAGAGGGTGGCAAGTGTATTTGAGATGGAGGAGGAAGGGCTTTCGCTCTTCCCTGGCTCAGAGAACCCCCCTGAGCATGCAGGTATGGAAAAATTCTTTCTAAATCCATGCAAGCTAAAGGGTCTCCATTCTTTCAGCTGCAAGCGGAATTGATATTCTGGTGAAATTTTAGGGTGAGTTCTGCTGTGGTTGTGGCACTTGGAGAGAATCTCTAAGAATAGAAGCAGTTATTGATAGTTGAAGATGACCGGATTTATCCGGGTGATAAAGGCGTTGAATATTTTTCTTATTTAACTTTCTAGAGAGTAGGTCCATGGCAGTAAAATTAATTTATTTTTGTTAGCCTTATTAAAAGCTGCTGAACAATGAAGCTTTATCACAGGTCACAATCCAACAAGGATTAGTGATGCAAAGAAACAATAGGGCCTTGCAGATTCATATAATGGAAAGGCAGTAGAAGGTTTTTTTTACACATTTCTTTTTCTGGAATGTATGTGTCCACAATAATTAAACATGGTGTTATGTTATTCCATGATATTCTGAAGCTACATGGCATAAAAAAAGAAGACAGGCAGCAGAATCAAACTTAGAGTAATCCTCCACAAAGAACAGAGATTGAGAGTATGGTAAAATAGAACTGAGATTTTGCAGTTACATTTGCTGCTGATACACACAATCCTACACTTTCAGACTGTTGCTGCTGATACACACAATCCTACACTTTCAGACAGTAAGAAGACATAACATCTCTGGATGGGCAACAGGAAAAAAGGAAAACACAAGTAAGGTGTCCAGCGTAGTATCAGCAACTTGATGAAAATATGACAACTACATTTATTTGTTGAATAGTGAGGCAATGGGCAGTCCCTGATGTAAAAAGAAGAGGTTATCTGAACATTGACCTAGGACTCTTGAGTAGAGTAGAAATAGATAGAGTAATTGAAAGGTGAAGAGGTGTTACCAATAAATGTCCTTAAAACAGATTTAAGGACAGGAAAATAAGAAAAGATGACAATTGATAAATGCCTTACAAAAATGCAAGAAAAAAAGCCACAGAAAGTGAGGGGGGGGGAAAATTAAATAGGGAATCTACCGAAGAAGGAGGACCCTAATGAGACCTAGAGGTGCAGAAGTGGCATTCATGCTTGACACCTCTCAAATTATTTCTGTGTTATCTTTGACCACAGAAAATGCCAATAATAAGCTCCGTAACTAAAACAGCTAATGTTCAGAGATGTAAAGTAATTTGCATAGATCAAAGAATAAGCTTGTCTGTCTCAATAAAACAGTCACAGGAATGGTTGTCAGATGCTTAGTAACTTCTTGAAGAGATCCATTGAATTACTCTGCTGTCCCTCAAACATATGAACATAATTTGAGGCTTCCACAAAGTTGTTACACAAAGTTAACACACATGCAGCGGCAGACTGAGTAACCTGAAGTAACTGTAGGCATTGCATAATTCCTCTTGGTAATAGATTGTGTGAAGATGAATACAGCAGAACAAGAGAGGGCAATATTAGAGACTTAACCTTTCTGGTGACATTTTCCTGCTGTGCAATCTGCAATGATAAGTGCAGGCCAAAATGAGTGACCTCCAGATCTCTGTAAAGTCAATGGGATTGAAAATCAACACCAATATACTTAAGACTATGAAAACCAATAGGTAGCAAAGAACAGTAATAATAATTTCTGGGACTGACCTAAAACCTTTTACCATTTCAGGAACTTGAGCAGAATAGTAAATGTAACTGTGAGTAAAGATAGAAGTATTAGAACCACTGTATGAAAATGAAACATGCCATTGTAACCCTAATGGTGACTGGGAAATGCAGCAGCCTTGTCCTGCAAACCAAAACCTTTGAATTAACTCCAGTGTAAAGGTTTTCCAGGCGTATCTAAACTTAATCTAGTAATTTATCAGGACATGCTGTTTGTAATCTTTATGAATAGCTCCTGTAGAAGAATCTATAATATCTGATATACAGAAAAATACTTGCACTATGGCTATGCAGAAGATGTCAGATGTCAACATGGCTAGAATTACATGAAATGAAGAGAAAGATAGCTAATAGGGAGGGAACGCACAAATAATATTGGCAAGCATTTGGCTGGAATGCTTAAGGTGAGATGTGTTGGAGTAGACCAAAGACGTTTTCAGAATGCACAGCCAGTGATAGGATTAAGATCCATCGGAATAACATAGGAGGAACTGGGAGCTGCTGCACAAGACCATCCAAAATATAAGGCAGTAGCAAATGCCCTGTGTTTCAGATGGAATAACAAGGTTTAGTAAATGAACTGTCAGTATGAGAGTGCTTCAGTTTTAGGAGGGAGGAGCACTCTTCTTCAAAAAGTAATGATGGCTTCAGGGTTCCAAAGGTTCACAGGGCTTGTGCAGCGCGCTCCTTGCCTGCATATTGCCCCTAACTCCATGATGTTGCAGTCTTCTGTCTTGACAGTTTCCCTAGGTGATGCAGTTGCAGGGATTGCCCACTCAGTTTGCTTTTCGTATGGTCACAGTTTTAGCACTGTTTTTTTGTGATTGACTGCTGAGCCATTTTTCTTTATCCTTGCTCATGAGTATGGCGGAGAATAGAACTGAATTCTGAAGAAAATTACCTTCTGCACAGTCTTGGTTTTCAGCTCAACTTTTCTGCAGTGCTTTCTCCCATTGGTAACTTAACTGTCACTCCTGCGATGGAAAGTGCAGAACGGATACCTGGCATGAGTGTGTTTTAGCTCTTTTAACCTATATTGGAGGAGAACAAATGTAAAGTTGTATCTGCTTTATATAGTTGAGGTGAAATGGTTTAGATTATGTCAATAGTTGGTTTGTTGCAGAAGATATGCTTGCCTAGAAGGAGAGTCTGTGAAACGGGAGGCTTGATCTTTTCATTCGTGTGTTTGGGAGGTAGTGGGTTTGAGTGAGGATACTGGTTATTGTGAGGAATGAGACAGTCAGCTGCAAACACCATGCTTCTCTCACGTGTGTGGATTTTGTTTTCTTTTCTTTGTTTTCCTTTTCCTTGGTACTGTTTTGGTAGAAAATCCCCCCCTGAAGCGGAAGAAGGGCCCAGCTCCTAAGATGCTGGGAAATGAAGTGTGCAGCGTGTGTGGGGACAAGGCCTCTGGCTTCCACTACAACGTGCTGAGCTGTGAAGGCTGCAAGGGCTTCTTCCGCCGCAGTGTCATCAAGGGTGCACAGTATGTCTGCAAGAACGGCGGCAAGTGCGAGATGGACATGTACATGCGCCGCAAGTGTCAGAAGTGCCGGCTGCGCAAGTGCCAGGAGGCAGGGATGCGGGAGCAGTGTGAGTGCAGGAAATAGTGCTGGCAGGAGCACTGTGGCGCTGGGACAGGAGGGATGTGGGGAGGGCTGAGGGCAGATGGGTGTAAGGAATGGGGCAGTGTGAGTGCTTGTGGGTCACACGTAAGCCATGCAGGCTGCATGCTGAAATGTGTGTGGGAGGTCACTGAGAGCTTAGCAGGAATCACGTGGAGACTCGAGGCTGTTGGTGAGCACCACTGGTGTGCTGAGAGCCCCAGCCCTGCTGTATTGCTTGTGAGAGCTTGTGGAATAGGGGAAAGACGCACAACTAAGATTTACACATTCTTCAGTAGGCTGTCAACTGCATCAGTAAACTTGGGCTTCGGTCTGCTTTGTCATAAGGACTGCAAGGTTGATCACCACACTCCTTGAACAACAGGCACTTCCTTTTGCCTTGTGCTGTGGGCTTGAGACAGAGGCCAAGGGCAGCACCACAGTACTGCAGCTGTGCTTGTGCAGACCCGATCTCGTTGTTCCCTTTAGTGAACTCTGCTGTTTTTCTCAAATGAGCCAAAAGGCTGCTGTTTCTGAATGTTCTACAATGTTCCTGCTCACATACCAGGAACAGCCCTCCTTGGCCAAGGCATCTGAGTTTCATCCCTTTGCTGTGCAAGAGTGACTGAATGGATGCTTGGTTAATGTTAAAGCTATGTGAAGTCTCCTTTTCTGATATCCAGTACCCAAAACAGTGAGAAACAGAGGGTATTTTAGAAACATCTTATAAAAATACTTCTCCAAAAAGTAAGTCCCACTGAGCTGCACCGAGGAAACATGCTGTTCGTTTTTTTTTTTTCCAAAGTGAAACACTGCACACCTAACATATGTAATCAATATCTTTGTCACACTAGTTTGTATCAGCATTAGGTATGCTGTCTTTGCCCCATTTCCTCCTGCTCCTGAGAGCTACAAAGCAGATGTATTTGAAGAGCTATGTAGCAAGCCTACCTGTCCACTTTTCTACTCTTCTGTTGCAGGTGGATACTAGAGAAGCCTCCGTGTGTTTCTGCAGTTACTCATTGTCTTATGTTGAAGACAGCTCAGGAAAATTAGGCCAAAAGGGATCTTCAGGTTGTTGGCCACTCTTGTCAGCACTGTAATCCCCACTAAAAATTCACGTAGTTAATCTTTAGAGAAACGGAGGGGTTTTTTTCTTCCAGCTGTTTCACTTGGAAGGTCATTCCAGAACTTCCCTCTACTAATTATTGGAAACATTCTTCTAATTCCCAGACTGAAGTTATTCATGGCCAGTTTATTGTTCTTCAGCCACTGTGAACCATGAGATTAAATTGTTCCTTCATGGCAAACCAAGCAACTTGGATTGCTGTGAATTAAGCATGGTGTGGAAGCTTGCACATAGGCAGTTTCCAAGATTCAGTAGTATCTGGTAACTTGTTACTCGGCTATAAATTCTTTGTGCATCCGAGTCCCAAGATGAGGGACTGTAATTGCTTGGATCAATTACTTCCCTTCTTAAACTAACGCTGCGGTTAGCATTCTCTAGTCTTACAGATCCTTCTTAATTTGTTAATTGCACTGAATGTCTTTTCTGTTAAAATTGTAATTTTTGAGCGCGTGTATACCTATGCGTGCATCCTCACTGTTGGAAGTTGGAGATAAAGGTTACTCTCAGCTTGAATGTGCTGTGTTCTTCATCTTCCTGTGGACTGTCCATTTTGGAATGATCTCTCATGATACCTCTCCATTTCTTGTCTTCATGTTCACATGATTCTTTTGAGAAGTGCAAATATGTACGTGTTCAGTTCTGGGGCCTGCCTTCCTGTGTAGCAGATATGTTTCCTTGTTATCTGTGCATAAAAAAATGGCCAAAGAATATTTCAGCACTTTTAACATCTTGATTACAAAGTCAAGCTTTATTTTTTTTTTAGTCTTTGTTCCTGAAGATAAGGACGGTGGTTTTTTTGCAATCAGTCTCTTTTCTGCTTTTTGTTCATTCATCACTAACTCACAGGATGAGTCTCTTGAAGATAATCCTTGAATCCAGGTAATGTCTGGTAGTTTCCTTTTTTTTGGATGCAACTTGCAAATAGTTTTTGCAGATTTGACTTAAAGAAACAACAAACCTCGACTACATCCAAATCAGTGAATTCTTAAGTTAACTCAGTTACAGGCTGTTAACAGGTTTTTGTATTTAAATTAATGAGCAGTCAGTCCAATAAGATGTTTCACAACACATGCCTCCAAGTTGTTTTAGTCCTTAAAATGTTACATCTAAATGACATATCCTTTGACTTCACGACTGAAGAAGGCTTCTAGCCCTGCTGCTGAAGTAGTACTTGCAGTCAATACGTTTTATGCAAAGCTATTCTTTCATTATTCATCCTGTGGTAAGTTAGTACTGCAGCAGTCTGCTGCAGGTGGGCTGTGTAGAAAATTGTCCTTTCACTCTTGAACTCCATCCAGTACTGAGTCTGGCCTCTTAAGAAGAAGATGAAATGACACAAGCTGTTAATTTTAGAATTACTTAAAGTGGGGAAAACAGGGAGAAACAAATTATAAATATCACTGTCTGCTGTTTACATTGTGTACACTCTGATACACCGGGTACAGGCAGCTGTGATCTCTGCCTGTCTTTCCACTGCATGTTACTCTGTGTTTAGTGTGGTTTCCAGTGTGCTTCTTTGTCATGATTGGTCTCTGGCTATTCCTGCTTTAGATGTTTTGTCTGAAGAACAGATCCAACTGAAGAAACTGAAGAAGCAGGAAGATGATCAGGCTCGGACAGTCGTGGTGCGCCCAAACCCTCCAAATTCGCCAAGCCCTTCCCACAAACTGACACCTGAACAGTTGAGCATGATTAAAAAGCTTGTGGCTGCTCAGCAGCAGTGCAACCAGCGCTCATTCACAGACAGGCTCAAAGTGACGGTAAAAATTCTACCAGTGAACTCAAAATAAGAAAAAGTGAAGTTTGGGGAGTTGGGGTTGTGGGTAAACTGTTTGGGAGATTAGAGATACTCTAGCTTTAGGCACTGTATGTGTGGGCCAAAATTCTGTAAAGAATAGCAAAGGATGATGTTCCAATGTGTCTCTTTTTTTTTTTCTTTGTTCATCTTGTCATCTTTCTGCCCTGACTCCATCTTTCACATACATCCTCTGTCTCTTCCCGTTCCCACAGCCGTGGCCCCAGGTTCCTGACCCGAATAACCGTGAAGCAAGGCAGCAGCGTTTTGCTCACTTTACAGAACTTGCAATTATCTCTGTGCAAGAGATTGTGGACTTTGCCAAGCAACTACCTGGCTTCCTGGAGCTCACCAGGGAAGATCAGATTGCTTTATTGAAGACATCTACCATAGAGGTGAGGGTTTGGCTCCACCACAATTCATAGTAGCAGAGATGAAAGAATTTGGAGTACCCACCTGGAGAACTGGTTCCATCCTTTTTTATGGGAATGGCAGGCTGAAGGACCCCAGCTATGGGACCATTACTGCAGTGCCAGGCTATGCTGGCAAAGGGTCATGGAGGAGAATGGGGCAAGAGCCTTGGTAGTGGTAAGCAGGTATCTTCCCCAGAAACAGGCACCGCAAAAGATGCAGCAGAATTTACCTTGGAATTTTTAAGCACTCTGAGAGAACCTGCTTGGAAGGGTGTTTGTTGTTGGTTTTGGTTTTGTTTTTTCTCTAACACTCAGCAAATTATCGATCTTTTAATGTTCTTCTGTGTTTTCAAATCAAGTATATCTACTTCTGGTTTCAGGTGATGTTGCTGGAGACATCACGGCGCTACAATCCAGAGATTGAGAGCATCACCTTTCTTAAGGACCTAAGCTATAATCGGGATGACTTCGCCAAAGCAGGTGATACATTAGACAGGTGTTTCTTCCTTTCCTGTGTCTTGTGTTCTTTCATCTTTTCCTTTTTAATGCTGGCTGCTGGAAATAATATGTGGGGCCTTAAAACTGAAGTCAGGTGAGATGTTTAGAACAGGACCAGACCAATAGCCCCATAAACCATTTTTTGCTTTTAACAGGTAATAGTAGCTCAGTTTTTTAGGTGTGAACTTGCTTTGGAAAGTTTGGACTCTTACAGCATGAAAATCTTGCTGTAAGCCTGCACCTAGGGCTAGCAGCTGGTGTGAGCTGCCTTGCTGGTAGACATCTGACATGGACATCTTAGAGCTGTATCAGATCACAACAAATCAAACCCCAGTCTTCTCTGCTTTGCAGATATTTCACTTGCTAATCTAGATATGCTTTGAGTGATGATGCTAGTGTGATTACATTTCAGTTGATATGAAGTCTGTATTGTGCACTGAAGGTCCCTGCAGAGTGCTTCAGATGTCTCATCAGCTCAGTATACAATGGTCTGTGGTGATGTGATTTCTGAAGTCTGTTTTTCCAGGAGCGACAAGTGTCTCTAATTTCAGATGAAGTAACAGGACGTCTGTATATTCAGCATTTCTGAAAGAGAGACTTTGGCTGTTCTTCATGTAACTTATTTATTTATTTATTCTGTGGGTAGCTATTTAACCATTTATATTTGAGATGACTTGTATATGCAATTCCTCTTTGACACTCTTCCTGGTAGCCTTTTCTTCAGATTATTAGGAAGGCAGAAAGCAAGCACGCAGAAAGCTTCCGTTCCTCTTGTTCAGTCTTCTCTAATGCAGTTGTACTGCAGGAAATTAGAAACTTGGATGATGTTCTGGGGGAAAGTCCTACAGTTTTCGGCGTGATCGTATAGCACGTAGCACAAAGAGCCGATTCGGCTGTGCCCTCTATATGTTACAACAATAAATAACAACGTATCTCTGCCTGACTACATTTGTCAAAGGAGGTGATTGGAAGCCCAAGTCACGCTCTGCCTCAACTCTCCCAGCTTTTTGAGCTTAAGGAAATGGCATAGTTGAGACTTTTTAGAACTATATGTTTTCAGCTGAGATGGACTTCAGATGAATCTGTAGCATGGGATTAAAGCTTTCTTTAAAAGCAAGAGGGTTGCTGGGTTTGAAGGAGGTGATGGTGTGAGAGTGGAAAGTGTAGATAATATACTTGCAGGCTTCTGACCTTTTTACAGACTTAGATCTGATAGTTGATGTCGTGTTCCTTTAGCTGTTGCCTAGTAATGTGCTGTAGGGCATTTAAGGCTCTAAGAAAAGCCAGAAATGGTATAATTTAACAGTTAGAGCCTGACTCCTTAACCACTGCTGGTGCTCACCAGTAGTGGTGGGATGTAAAGGGAGGTTTCAGCCACACTTGGAACACAATGTAAGGGATTTTCCTTGCCTGCCTGTCCTCTCCACTCCATGGCATACTGTGGTGGGTTTCTGACAGCTTATTCTGTGAGAGGGAAGGGGAGAGAGAGTTGCCTCACCTTGTTCTCTATTGCAGGTCTGCAGTTTGAGTTCATTAACCCCATCTTTGAGTTCTCAAAGGGAATGAATGAGCTACAGCTCAACGATGCTGAATATGCACTTTTAATTGCCATCAACATTTTCTCTGCAGGTAAAAATCCAGGGAGATCTGAAGAGCTACAGCAGTGAGTCAGAAGGCAAAGAAAGTGGAGTTAAGGAAGGTCACAAGCTGAAGAGGAGTACTAGAGAGTGTAAAGGGTTTAGTGATAAAGGGAGCATGCTTTGGGTGTTCATTATATTCTGAATTTTCTAGTGCCACCTCCAGAGGAAATCAGATTCCCCACTGCTGGAAAGCTGTATAGCAAAATCAGCCAATATTACTCATTTAGAAATTGCTGATTTACTGTTCTGATAATGCACCTGGCACGACCACTGTGTGGAACAGGGCAGGTGGCACGAGTGACATCTTGTGGCCAAGTACAGGCACTCTGGGCATGAGATCAGTGTCGCCCTGGGCCAGGAGAGAGCTTTGAAAAGTAGCCACCTTTAATCTTCTGTTTTCTGTCTTGTGACCTGAAAGATGATTTTTTTATTATTTTTTTTAAATTGTTCCTGTTTTCTAACTGGCTCAGCTGCTGGAGAGACTTTCCCATTCCCTCCTGAATGGTTAGCTTCTTATCTTCACTGGGACAGGAATGTGAGACCAAACACACAAATATAGTGCTCTTTGGTCTCTCTAACCTTCCACCTCTGCAGGAGTCAGATTGGAATCCCCATGTGTGGGTAGACATGACTGAGAAAGAACAGTTACAGAAGACTTACATAGCTGCTGCAGTCATGTATGACTTTCCCAGCTGTGATAGGTGAATGCTAGATGCAGTTCTGGGGAGAGAGCATACTGAGGGACTGGAGTTAGGCAGGGATGTCAAGTCCAGTGAAGCTGCCTGTGGTGATCTGCTTACTTCTAATCTGCTTTTTGGCAGACCGACCGAATGTGCAGGACCAGTCCCTGGTGGAGCGGCTGCAGCACACCTATGTGGAAGCCCTTCATTCATACATTTGCATCAACAGACCAAATGTAAGTGCCTGACCAGAACATCCCCAGCCATGATACAAACTGATTTTGTACTTATGCAGACACGGTTCCTGCAGTACTGTATGTGACAGGTCTCTTGCAGCTGGTATGGTCATGCTCTTCCCTTCTGTGGCTGTTTGTTAGCAACTGTAAATGTGGGATCTGGGAGCAGCCACAGCCTGCTGTCCTGTTTCGTATTCCATGGTTTAGCCAGCTTGGAAAATCTGCAGTTTTGGAACTTGGTGTGATTATTTGTGTTCCTCCTCCACGCTGCTGCTCCTGGAGAAAGTCTACTTTGGAGGAAGTCAGGATTGTGATTACAATGCATCACCTAGTGCAATAATTTGTTTTTTAATAAAGTTTTCGTGTGACTTTACTAACAGCTGTCTGTTTGTCTGACTCTGCAGGACCGCCTGATGTTTCCACGGATGTTAATGAAGTTGGTCAGTCTTCGGACACTAAGTAGTGTCCACTCTGAACAGGTGTTCGCCCTTCGGCTGCAGGACAAGAAACTCCCTCCCCTGCTCTCAGAAATCTGGGATGTGCATGAGTGACTGCATGCTCCCAGGGCGCTGACATACCGATGTAATGCCATCTTCAGTCCTTGCTAACGAGAAGCCAGCCTCCCCTCTCCAAAGCACTGGACTCTGGGCTAGGCAGTGCAGGGAGTGATGAGCCTGGAGTTTCAGTGTTGTCTTGAGACTGTGCAGGAGAGCTGAGGTAGATCAGATGGGGGGGGGGTTAGTTTCAATGTAGTGCCCGTACCCCAAAGTTATAACGTGAAACATCTGAAAACGGTAGAAATGAAGACCTTCCCCCCAGACATGTACACCTCTTTCTTCAGAGCCTTTCTGTTCTCTAAGCATGTCCTTGAGGGTTTGCCCATTGATCCTCTCCTCTCTTGTTGATTATGAAAATAAATTTGCAGGAACTTGCCAAACCCTCTCTATTGAGAGTAACCCAGCTCAAAAGGCTTCTGCAGGGTCCCCAGTGTACCTGGATCTGAGGAGCTCAGGGAAGTCAATGTGGATGTTCTAGGGGTTTCACTGGGTTTCCTATAAATAAAATCTCTTGTATGTGCTGCCCTTTACAACGATTCCAAGAGAAGTAGCTGTTATTTCTTTATTATGAGACTTCATCTCTAGAGCTGCCCTTTCATTCTGGCCCTCCTTTGGAGAAAGGATTCCTCTCATGTGTAGTGCCCTTTGTCTAACAGGAAGGCCCTCTGGGTAGGGAACATTTGTACATCAGAAAGATGTCAGGCAGAAATCAGTGCATTTTTTTTTAATGTAATACATTGCAGTTCACTTTACTTTTGATTTGCTAGCAGCTGGAAAACTTTAGTTAGAAGCGAATCAGAGCATAGATTTTCTCTTAAGGGATGGAATAGAAGAGAGATAGGTGGGAAGGACTGGTACCTCGGCTAGGTAGGTATGGTGGAAGGATCTCAAAAACTTCCAAGAATCTGGAGCATGTGGCATGTGTCTCAAGGTGGGTGTGAAGATGTATTGGCCAAGGAGAGAGGACACACTGCATTTAGTCAAATACGTGGGCATTGCGCAAGCTATGGGCTGCACAACTCTCAGATCATGGGCTGCAGGAATATTGGTTGTGAGCAGATCCACTTGTGTCTTCTTCCTTTTGCCAAAGTCTTTCCAAGGTACTTGCTCAAGGTTTTAGTCATGGTCATGGGTTATGGAGATCCCTCCTGTACGAGGAGTGCCAACTGCTTTAGAAGGACAGTCTTGTATCCTTTCTTCACTTCGGGCACTGTCAGGTCCACACTGGATTTATGCCCTAAGTTCTTAAGTATCTGCATCTATAAGTATTCTAGGATTTACAGCAATATTTTGTCTGACAGAAGAGAAATATACTATTTCTAAACCATGTTCCTTATTTTCCAAGAAACAACATCTTATGGCTGATCTCAGAGATGTAACCTTAAGTATCCTGGTAGCTTGGTCTCATAAGTCTTCTCTGTCATAGGGGTCTATGTTTGCTTGCCCGGTGAGCATCCCAAGAGCCTAGGTTCACATGGCTCTTTTTTTGTTTGTTTGTTTTTTGGTTGGGTTTTTTTTTTTGGCTGTGTATCTGAGCGCTATGCCCGTGGTGAGGGTATCGTGTCCATTTTGCACTTGAGGTTGGTCCCCTGCCACTGGCCTTCACTCTGCACCTTTGTAAAGCACTTGTAACAATCTGTAAAATAATCTGTTGTTTTTTATAACTCATTGCAATTGCAGAAATTCTTGTTTAAATCTGTATTTTTAACTAATCTGTTTGAGAAATGTTAATGTTTATATAAAAGAATAAAGCCTAATACAGGATTTTTACATTCTCTGTGCTGTCATTAGACTGGAGGAGGGTGGAATAAGTTCTTGATGTAACAAGCTTAAAGCCGAGACAAAAATGAGTACAGAGGCTGGGGAGAGGGAAGAAGTGGTGAAAAAGAAAGAGCAGTGCAACCCCAGGCAGTTTCTTTGGGCCTCTAGTATGAGATTTTAGCTTGTTACGCACCTTGCTGTGCATCAGAGCTGGCAAATAGGTTAAGTGGGTTAAGTGCACATCATGGAGACCATGAATTATTCATACACACCTCACCTTGATTTGTACAGCTACATTCCAAATTAAACCTCTTTATTTCATGCGCACTACTCCATTTTCTGCATATCGTGGCTCACCAAAATTGAAAGAGCAGTCCAGTGGCTG